ACTGGCCCGAGCAAGGGAGGGATTTCCCTGGACTTGCCCACGCCGCTTTCGCCGATTATGAGGATTTTCAGGGTAGTCAAAATATCCTCGTCCATCCTGACCGCCGACGACACCCTACACAGGCGGCGCCCCCGTCCCTACGCCAGCTGCCACGTCTTCTGCGCCTGCGCCCCACTGTATCCGCCCCTTTGCCTCCGCCGAAGTCTTGTTGTGCGCACGCGTCGAGAAGACCTTCCGCGTCTCGGTCACGTCCCCGCCCCTTCTCCGGTCCTGGGTCGGGAGCCGGCCCGGGGCTCCAGGGGCGCAAGCGCACATTGGGTTTGGGGGGAGCCGGAGAGTCGTTCCTTTGCTTGTTGAGACAGGCGGCAAAAGAAGGAAGAGCGGTAACTGGGGTGGTGTGTGTAAAGAAGGGTTGGGCTGCAGGTTAGCATGAGTCACGAGGCCGTTTTAGCCAGACCAGTTGTTATGTACATAAGTTGCATTACCGCCTGACAATTTCACCACCTATTTGTTAGGATAAATTTGTTGCACTTAATTGTATGCCTGTTAAGAACGCATAATAAAGGTTTCCTCCTTTGTTCAATACCACCTGTATTGGACTTTTAATTTCCAGGTTTGCCTGCCCTCATGAATGTATTAGTGACATATTTGGAGGGCTCAGAATGGCGGCGTACAGGCGTTGAGACTCAGAAGGTTTCAACACACATAGTTTAAGAAATTGACTCCTATCATCCTGCCATTGCATTTTTTCTGTAGGAATGCAGAGCTGTTCTTGCATATCTGGGAAAAAAATAAGCATTTATTAGAAGGCAGATGTATTAGGGAGATGCCTGTAGCAGGAGAAAATACTACATACATTTATTTTTTATTGGCTTTCCTTCACATTACAGCATCCTATGGTGCCTTCTAATGTGTCAGATCTTCAGTTCCCAACCAGCTTCACCAAAAGGCTGGCTGGAAGTTCTGAGATTTTCCATTTGTAACTAATTGTGGCTGGTAAAAATGTTAGATGCCATGATGTGTCTACACATACAAAGTTCGTGCAGGCAATGGATTTCATGTGACACTCTGTGGAAGCGAAACCTGGACTTTGAAGAATAAGATAGAATATTGACACTTTTGAACTTGGTGTTGGAAAAGAGTCCTGAGAATACCATGAATAGCCACGAAAACAAAAGGATCATAGAACAAATCAATCCGGAGTTCTCACTTGAGACACAAATGACCAGACTCAGATTATCATATTTTGGACACATTATGTGAAGATATATTCTTTGAGAAATCTATAATGCTAAGAAAGAAAGAAGAAATGGATGGACTCAGTTACAGTGATGAGGGATACAACATGGAAGACTGCTGGAGACAGATGATCCTCAAGACGGTCTGTTTATGTGTTTGCTAAGAATTGACATCAACCTGACCACACATGATCAACTAACTGTGGAAGATAAAGGTACCTCTGAGTTGAGCCGGACTCCTGGTGCCTATATCCATGTAATTTTCTTGGCAGTATTACGAATGTGGTTTGTCATTGGCCTCATTCGAGATGTATTTCTGACTTTCTAGTCTAACCAGCAAACTGAAATTCCCAGGTAATTCCTCATCCAAGTGCTAACCACAGTTGACCCTGTTTAGCTTCTATATCAGCCAAGATCAGCTAAATGATATCACCCCAAAGGCTACATAGCAGTTATTCCAAATCCTACAATGGAAGACAGACGTCCCTGGTACTTTCATGATGCTTTTTGCATTTCACCAGCCTGTTGCAAGCACCAAAAAAACCCAACACCCTGTATGGAACTGTCCCTCCCTTGGAGAACCATGTTTTTGCTTTGGAAGGGGATGAAAAACTCATTCAGAAACATTTCTCAGCCATTCTGCCTCCTTTAAGATTCTGTTCTTAATTATACAGGAGGCACCAAAAACCCAAAACTAGGCCCCCAATTGTCAAGCATGGCTCATTTTTCCCCACCTCAGAGTTCAGGTAACTAGATAACCCCAACTGGAAGATGTCCCGGAAGAGGAAAAAGTAGGGAAAAGTCTTGCTAGTTTTATAGTGAGTTGGATTTTATTTGCAAATTACACCACTTGTGCTGTGGCAGAGCTGAGAGAATGGAGAAGCTTTTTTTTTTTTTTTGGTGCTTCCTCTATTGTAAATTGAGTGGAAATTATCAAGGCACGAGATTCAGACTTTGGATTTCAGTTATTTGAGTTGTTCTTTTACACTAGGTTTTTGTTCAAGTAAAAAATTCCCCCCATTAAAAAGTGGGGGGAAAGGATTCATTTACAGAACAATTGCTTTTGCCCACATGAAAATAACTTCCACAAAATGAATCCTCTAGAACATTGATTTCATTTTCTTGAGAACCTTTTATGCTATAGAATCAATGGATAAGTATCAGAAAAAGCCAACCTACACATTGAGTTAAACTATGAATAGCTAAGTATGTTAGCTATTTGTAACCCATTCGGAAGCATTTTTTCTTCCACTGCTAACCTCAGTCTTGTTTTCTTCAAAGAATATAATTATCAATTAATTGCACTACATAAGCAGAATAACGATAATTATGTTGAGTGAAATAATGGAGATGTATACGCTGCTTGAACATTCACCAATAGCAAATCATGAAAGGGACACAGTACAGCCCCTGGCTGGTTTTGAAAAGCTAAGCAGGGTTTGATCTAGTTGGTACTCGAAGGGGAGACTAGCAGAAAATCCCAGGGCTTTAGGCTAGACATGGAAATTGACAAAATCTCCCGGAGGAAAGCAATGGTAAAATACCTCTATATTACTGCCAAGAGAACTGCATGAATATGCCCAACAAAGTCACCAGGAATCAAGTTTGATTCAAGTGAAGCATTGCCTTTGGTCCGCTTCTGCAAAAATGTAAACAACCCTTAGGAAGTTTTCACAGGTGATATTTTAAAAAGTATTTGGATTGAATGCATTCTTAACACAGGAATATCACTGAGAAGCCATGCCGTGTGGAATGGAGGCTTCACCAACACGATCACTATACATTCTGTCTTTAAAACATGAAGATTGAATCCCTCATCATCAAGTGGTGACAGGCATGCAGAATTTTCCCTTCTATCCAACAAGCAGCCCATTTATTTGGATCCATCAAAGGACCAACATCTATAAAAGCCTTGGCATTCTCCATTGCAAAAAGGGAAGACTCCCTGCTGGAATTATACTTCTTGGAATTCTTATTTTTGGCCTCCAAGGACCATAGGAAGAGGTGATGTCAATGAAGTGACATCACCAGAGGATGGGGGGGGCTGAAAAGTAAACGAGGTGCATTTTAACCCAGTAAAAGCTTTTTTGCTTCCTGTTTAAAAAAAAAAAAACTGGAAATGCATATTGCTGAATTTTTGCAGTATGACTTGGGGGGAATCTGGAGTTTGCAAAAAATTGAGTGTTCTCTTTGAATAGATTGCTAGGCTTGAATTAATTTATTAATATCTGCCTTTTCTCTTGGAACTCAAGATAATACACACAGGATCTCTATTCATTTTTTCTTCACAAAAACCATCTTGTCCAGTAGCTGAACTTCGAAATAGAAGCCCTCTTAAAAATCACATGAAGACGAAAACTATATTCTAGTTGTAGATTCTTACAAGTTAATTTGAGGAAAAAGGGTTGTCATGATAAAAGGAGAAGCAAATCTTGGTAGTATAAAAGAGTTCTGCCTATAACTTTTGGGTGGAGGCCTAATTTTGATGGATGCAAAGATGCTTTTAATGTTATTGTCTATTTGGGACCTGGGAGAATAGAACGCCAGGGTTTTAGAAGGAATTGAACAGTTTTTAATTTGTTTTTCTAAATAGTTTAGAGAATAGCTTAGCCAGCCAGTATAGACTAGCTATTCTCTAAACTATTTAGAATTTAGTTGGCTATTTCACAGGTATTCTGAAATCAGTCTATAGAAATATGCATAACTTTCCACTGAATGGTAGCTGAAATAACTTTAAAAGCAACCACAATTTGATAAAACCGCATAACGATCCAGGGGATTATATTTGCCAGCATATCTCCGAGACCTCTTGACTTCTCTTTCAACTACTGTCAGCTGGTCTTCCCCTCTTGATAACATTCAGCCTTGTGTCCTCCGGACTGAAAGGTTATGATCCAATTTATCTAGTAGGCTCCAGGTTAAGGATCTCTGCATCACATAATACTGTCTTCTAAACTAAATGAGATGAATCCCGGGTGGATGAAAAGGGTTTTATAGCTACCCTTTGAATCATAATGCTCAGAATTCTGTCTTCTAAAGAAATTTGTCACAAAGTCAAAATTGCCCGCTTCATGAAGCCCTAGAAATATATTCCCTCTTCACTAGTATCAGCTGCCAAGTGTGTTACACAGAAACTGGAGTCCAAAGCATGTTTACCACACTGGGCAACTGCTGTAAGCTTTCTAATATGTCCTGCCCTGCAGTTCCTGGAGTTATTAGTTAACACTCCTCCCTTGGAAAACAGATTTAGATAACTCTACTATGGATCTTATATTTTCAAAAGCTTTAGGCCATGTAGTTGAAGTGTATTTTAGGGTACCCAAATCATGATCTCTATATCAGACCTCATAACTAAAGACCATATAACCAGATTTTGGTGCAAAATCCCAAGTCCATCCATAGCTGGATCCCGAAATGACTTTTTCCCAGTTTTAACAGAGAGCATTTATTATAGATAATATGTTTTTCAAATATCCAGCCTCCAAATCCATATTGGTTTAAGCTTAAAAGTAGATTATAAATGAAAAATTCACTTCTGTGTCATGTAGTTCATGTGTTATGAATTCTAGTTCAAATCTGGGACTTGGCCTTTGTAAACAAGGTACTGTGGTTAAATAATTTCCCAGTCTGTTGTTTTTTTTCATGTCAGCAAGCCTTCTGTTTAGTGCATTGCCTTTCAGCTCAGCAAGAGGATTGTCGAAGTGGCTGAAATAAGAGATTTCTCCAGACAGCTCCAGTTCATTTTTTGCTAAAGATGGGAAATGTTATAGGTTCATAAATTGTTTCTTACATATTGAATTGGTCTAGCTGTAGACTGCCTTTGGGCAGGATGGGGGGAGAAGATAGGATTTTTCTCCCTCTTCTCAATAATTCTTTCCTTTTTGCTTCCATCCCACACTGATTGCAAGCCCAGACCGTGGCCTGTCTCTGTCGAGCTGAGAAGGGGAGAGAAATTCCCCCTAGCGCTCATAAACAGAAGTTTCATCTTTAATGTACGACATCACTGAGGACAGAGTTAGAGCCATTTCCTGACAGAGATGTTTTGTTTTGATTCTTTGAATGTCAGCAACACTGATTTAGTGTGCCCAAAGCCTGCAGCTTACACAGGAAATATGAAATCTGAGA